GTGTGTTGGTGTTCTAAGCGTGAAGAAAGTAGGATTTTTCGTAGATAGCAGGTGATTTTGTTATGGTTTGTTGGGAACGATTTTGTCCTTCAATGCTCTTAAATAGTAGTTTCGTAGAACTAACACAGGAAATGTGGCTATATGAGGAGGATCATAACAAGATAGTCATTAAGCAAACGCAGCGTGTTTTTGTGAAGTCTTTCTTCGTTGCTTCTTGTGCTGGATGGGCACAGCGGTGGTGTGTCCCATTCTACTTTACGGTATCACGGTGTGGTGACCGTCCGTGGACAAATCTACTATAAAAAGGCTAACAAAGGTTTAAAAGCTGGCGTGCATCATGATCACGGGGACGTTGCCCTCAACGCCGGCTAAAGCCCTAGAGACCTTCCTCCATTTTCTACATGTGGACCTATATGGTAAACTACAGGCAAGTTGTAATGCTATTAGATTAAACCCGCTGTCCAAGTGGAGTGATACGAGATTCGGATACTCTAGTATTTTGGAAGATCTTCCAGCAGACTTCAGGTGCCTGCACTACACAGTCCGGCCTACTGGACTAAAGAATAAGAATCATTTCCAAACAAGGATTACCTCAAGGGGCGAATGGGGGGAGGATTCAGTCCTGATCTCCTACTCTGATTCAGCAACCATGTACACCGATGATTCCAGCTAGATCTGACGGTAGGAAGTAGGGTATACTCGCAAGAACTCTCACTTAGCCTCAGTTTTCGACTGCCAGATTTCTGTAGCGTTTTTCATGCTGAACTGATAGCAATCTACGAAGCTGCTAGATGGCTGATCGATTCTCCTATTAATTTATATGCAGTAACTATCTTTTCTGATAGCCAGGCAGCTATCAAAGCACTTAATTGTGACAAATCTATAGCAGAGATTGGCATTGAATGTAGACGTACTCTAAATGAGCTGGCAAAGAGTTACTCTACTCAAGTTGTATGGGGGCCAGGACATAGGGACATACCGGGCAACTCTGTCGCAGACGAGCTGGCTCGGAATCATAACTTCATAGCAAGGTAAGCATTTCCACTGTATAAAAACTATATATAAAGAAAAAACCGGTTTATCCGTTTTTTTCTTAATTTTCCAATTAAAATTTTTTGAATAACTCGAAAACCGGTTTAGAAAAAACAGCGAATAATCGAATACCCTAATATTTATCGACAAAAAAAAATACAAATTTTAGACTGAAAATTTTCTGAACTCTCAGAAAATTGTTTAAAGGGCAATCTCAAAGCACAATTTAGTTTCGCTGCCGCGAGGTTTTAAAGCAGTCATGTCCAGCGCAGGTCACTTGCATATGGAATTCGGCCAACGTTGGGCATGACTGGTTTAAACTTTAAAGGTATTTGCTTTGATATTGATTTTTAAGAGAAGGCTTCCATGAACACCACGCAATTTTAGAGTAAGGCACAATATTAATGCAGCTTCAGCACCACAAAGGTAATCAACCATCACTTACCTATCTTAACACGGATAGAGAACCAATATTTTTTTGTTTCAAAAAACCAGTTATGTACGTACATATTTTACCTGCTCAACTATCTACTCCTATCATCGCTTAAATCCAAGTTGTTGTGACGGATTTGGCTTGTGCGTGTCGAATTAATTAGTAAGAAAATTCTGCTTCTAAAAATAAAATTGGTAAGTACGAGTGTGGCTTTGCATAGTATTTATTAAACATTAGTTAAACAAAATATATTTGGGTAGGCAATTGTTATTCTTATGTGTGTATTTATGTGCAGCAATCATGGGGTTTCCAAAAAAAAAAAACCAAGACAAACTAACAAAACGGCAGCAAAATAAACTTGTCACGAGTTGGACACGCTTCGGGACAAAATCGAAACAAATTCGCAATGGTAGTTAGAATATGGAAATTTCGGTTGAACCAGCAATAAAAAATTTGAAATTTGAAAAGACAAAAAAAGAAAGAGAGGAAAACAGAAAAGGAAAATGAGTAGAAGGTCATTTGTAGGCGTTGAAAGGAAATGCCGCCGATGTGCATAGATTTTCTAAGCGGGGACAGAGACCTGCTGCTGACAGTATTGGATGCTGACAGGTTTTTAATGGAATCGCTATGTGGCTTCAATGTAGGTAAACATTTGGTATTTGGTAAAGATAAGAAAATGAATTGGAAATTATTGTGAGATAAATGGTTGACCTACAGCAGCGTTTTGTGCAGGGAAATTGTATAGCTGCACGCTATGGGAAACATTGGGGAAAAAATTCTAAATGCTTTGCCTTTTCTTTCAGCCGAAACCCTCAATTAGTAGAGAGTTAAGAGCGAAAAATGGAAATTTTTTCACTGCTGTTTATTGTTGTTGAGAAAATAGCTTATTAAAATGCCCTTTGTGTGTATGCTAGAAACACTTAATTTTCTGAATTTATTTAAGTGCCTCAAAAATGCTATTTTCTATATAATAAATTAATAGTCACTTCTTAATTTGGGTGTTTTGTAGGTTTTTGATAATTGTTTTGTGTGAGAATTAGATTTTTTGAAGTCACTTTAAGCAAAGAGTACGTGCGCCCATTTAACGGTAATTAATAAGCTAATACGATATTTTCGAATGAAAGAAATGCATGTAATTTCTTTGATATAAACGCAAATAACGTGACTTTGCTTGGTAGCGTGACATGCCGAAAAAAAAGAAAGAAAACCATGAGAAGCGTGTAGGCAGAGGTTAACAACACAGTGGCGGACGTAGAAATGTAGTCATTTAAAATTTTTATAATTAAATTTTTTTAAGAAACAATTTTAAATTGTAGTTCATATAACGAGAGACACTCACGCTAAATCTCACACACAGTTGTAATTCATATAACGGCAATGTTGCCATGAAAAAGCATTCCGAAGAAATTTACAAAAACCGCTGTGGCTGAGCGGTTAGAGGTGCATATTACCACACCATAGAACCTGGGTTAGATTTGTGGTCCGAGCGACATCTAAATTAGAAGAAGTATTTTCTAACTGCCGTCGCCCCCCGCCCGACAAGCGATGGCAAACCTTCGAGTGTATTTCTGCCATGAAAAAAAGTTTCTTAATGAAACCATTACTTTGTTCGTGACTGTATCTATGATAGAAATAAAAATTTGTAGACAGTCATTACACTAATTCCAAGAAAAATTTTGGTAGCCTTTAATGACATATTTTATAAGAATAAAAAAACAACAACTAGAACATGACTTCACTTATAAGAAATAAAACAAGAAAATGAAAAAAGTGTATAAGTAAATGAATAAAAGAGAAAACTTTTAAAAAATATCACCAATATTTCGACTAACATTCCCACTTTGACATGTGGGAAAACAAACTACAGTAACTACACACAAACATACATGCATATAAAGTCGAATATAATAAGTATGTACTATGTACCGAAATGATGAAGAAATGGGACTGCTCTGTGCATAATTAGTATTCCACACACAATTCATGTAATTTTCGTAACAATTGTCAATAAAAGCCTCTAAAAGCGGCGACGACCTTCTGTGTGACACACACAACAACAGTGAATTGAACTTTTTTTTCACAAAGTCAAAAGTTATACATACATAAATTTATATTTAGTTGGATACCAATTGCGATATACATAACAACTATCAAATACACATGTGAATACAACAAAAGGTGAAAAAATTTAAAAATCCCACGCTTCTTTAGGTACAAAAGCCTTTTTACGTTTAAAGCTTAGCATTGGAATATCCCTTGCCGCTCTTGTTTTTAATAGCAGAAAATACATCTGATTGAATTAAACAAAGTATTTATGCTTTTCATTATCAGATATTTCATAAATAATTTTCTAGTGTTAAAAGGGTCGTTGAATTCTAAAATTCACTTTCTATTAATTTCATAAAAGTCAAGAATGTCAAAGGAAAATAGAATACTTAAGCAGTAAACGTTGAAATGGTAGAATGCAATTATCTTTTTTCCATATTTTTCTTTTTGAGAGTTGCTCAGAGCCAGTTGATAAATTATTGAGTTTTTTTGTTGAGAGTAGAAAAGTGAGAGAGCTTACTGAATACCAAATAGTTTCGAAATCGATATTCACCACGAAAATACCCTATTTGTGACTAGAGACTGAATACTTGCATAATACGCAGAAGGGTCTCGCAACTTCAATATTTTCGCCGAGCTTTCGCTATTCCACTTCGAAGCCTCTTTCCCCGAGTTGTCAACGGAACCCCTCTATGAATCTAAACTGCTGGAAACCACTGGACTTGTGATGTATGTGAGTATGTAAATGAGTATAATAATAATAATAATAATAATAATAAATTGGCGCTTACACATATGTTAGTGTTTGGCCGAGCTTCTCCTCCGACTTGTGGCGTGCGCCTTGATGTTGTCACACAAAGCGAAGGGACCTACAGTTTTACGCCGACTCCGAAGGGCGATTGTATTTTTATGAGCAGCCGGTTTTGGTGGCAGAAATACACTCGGAGGTTAAGAAAAAACCTCTTATCTATATTTTTTTTTTGCGATGTTGCTTTGACCAGGGCTTGAACCCAGGTGCTGATGAGTGAAAGCGCGCACTGCTTACCACTACACCATAGCGGCCGACACCCAAAGGAGTATGCTTTCTTCTAATATGCAAACCAAGTTGAACCCATCCGCTAAAAGATATACAGGATCTCTTAGAGCGATACAGGTGGAGAAGGATGCTCTCGGAGCAAACATCCGAATGAGCTTGAAAATTTCGAAGTTTAAATTTCCTCATCCCTTTTATCGTAACGAGGCCCTGTGTAGTCACCTGCCGCCCCATCGATTATCAAACGGAACACAGAAGAAGCGAAAGACCGATAACCGATTACAGCACAGACTGGCATGTTATGTAAATATTTTCCAAAGCGAAAAAAGGAATTGTTTTTACATTCATTCAAGTTTCATATTATTGAGGTATATGTATTCTAAAATCGGCCTAAGCAAAAGGGTAAATAAGGTTTTGACGACATAAAGATCCCTAAATTTGACATCCCTGCAATGTTTACTTATACCATTTTGCATATCTGACTACAGCGACTTGCTCACGATCTAGCTGTTTGGCCACTGTTGCTTTCTCTAGCGAGTTCAACTAAACAAATATTCCGTATAATATTCGTGTTTTTAGTATGGTTTCAGAAAGCCTAATATACTACATTAGATGAGAAGTTCAACATATGTAAAAATACTTGATGTCTAATAATTCAACCCGATCACACAATAGCCTCAACTTTCTATTTGTCGCATTGACTTATCTGTTGGGAAACTTCTAGTAAGATGACCTATTACCACTCAAATTCCATCTCTGCTAATATAAAACCCATCACTTTGGCTTTTCTTGTTACCGTTTATCCTCATTGCAGATGAATAGTAAAGCCACTGGAAAAACTGCCACTTAAATCAACTTCTCTTTCATCAGCGGAAATCTTGCATCAACGGAAATCTAAACATTTTTCATTGAAAAAGCAACCTAAAGTTAACGCCATAAAAAAATTTACTTTTATTTTTACAACTTGTGTATGACTAGTATGTATGTATGTTTGTCCATTTTTTTTTAATGAGCGATCACACCGTCCACATCGCCATCTCAAATTTTTCGCCGTATTAAACATTCACTCACAATCAGTTCGTTTCTCATTCGAAGTGAACGAACGACCTCTTTCAAGGCGACCTCATTTGGTTAGGTGACGACGTTAAAACATTGGTAAGCTGGTGCTTTATAGGAATGTACATGACACTAGGCATTTGATTGTTTGTCAGTGAATGGTGGTAAGCCGCTTAAATGCTTGTTTATTTGTATGAAAACGCATTATTGTTATAGTTGTGTAATTGTGGGCGGTTTATTTTAATGAAAAGAGCGTTGTTGATAAATTCAGCGCAAAGTAGTCTTAATGTGTTTCTTTAAAGCATTTAAAATTAGAAAAAATTTTTATCTTAAAGATTTAATAAACTATTAGTAATTTAATGGAATGGAGAGTAATTGGTTTTATTAACGCGATTTTTGTCGCGATCAATTCAAAACGTTTAGATGGGTAATTGTTTTTCTTTTGGTTGGCTATTAATTATATTCAATTTGAACCCATGACTGAATGAAGCATTGTTCGATGACTTTTGCGGGGGCTGACTTATATTTCATGGAGATCTGGCCCCCTCACTTTGCGGAAGGTATGTACCCTGAGGTACGTACCCTGAGACATGATTAGGATGCATGCAAAATTATCCTACTGAAGACCTCACCCTACGCGAGCGAACATATTCAGACAGACTGCTTTAAATATCCTCCTCAACTTCATGAGACACGATACGAATTGGAAATCACCCAGAGGACGACTTTCGACTTAGACACACTCCTAACAGATGCTTTAAGGATCTGAAAGAGTAAAAGCGAAGATAACCCATTACAAAGCTTCTGAAACATAACAACAGAATGCAGCTCAGAGTTCACTCTACTAGAAGATGACTAACTAAGGCCATAGTCTGCATCCCACAATAATCCGACCAATCATAACTTATGAAGTCCTAGTCTGGCAACCTAAGAAATGTTGAATAAGGCCTTTGACTTAAAGCCGCTACACATATTCATAACTGAAGCCGCCGCAATTGATGACGTTAGCTGATCCTAATAGGATTTTAAAATAGGCAATAAGTGGCGTCAGTGTCCGATTCGATATGATGGTATTATTGAGCCTATTATTTGAAAATTAGATTTAAAAAATGTCCAAAAACGGCTCGGAATACAGATCAGCGAAACGTATAACTCCCTACAACCACTAAGAAAAATTGACATGTAAAAAGTAGCATATGGACCAATTGCGACGTATGTTAAGTCTCATGATCTTTATGGAAAAGGCTCAATAAGAAACAGACTGAGGATCTTTAAAAGTAAAACAAGTCCGCAAACCAATTTGGAAGAGCGTTTGCACGTTTCAATAAGGCTCGGCACCATCGTATAAAGTTCGCGGAATTCAACGTTGTTAAGAAAAAAAAAATTCCAAGCTTAATTTCTTCGCAACAGTGGCCACACGGACATGATCCCTTCTCGAGGCCCAAGTATCGAGTGAAAATATGAGACAGTTAATGCCTTGAAGATTGCTCTTCGCCGCCACAGGGACAAAATACCATCAGACCACATTCGTGCGGCCATATTGAATGTATAAAACTGAAATTACGATGTATCCGTCCGCCTCCAGTCTCTCGACATGAACTATCTGCTTCAAACATAATTCTTGTCTTCAGAGATCAACAGCGAAAAAGTTATTGTAGAGCTTTTAAGTCTTCAACTCCAACGATGATGGGCTTTTTTGGGCTTTAACTGAACTTCCGTATAACTATATTAAAAATGTCATCAAAAGAGTTAATGTGTCCCTACAAAATTGTAAGATATAAAGACTTACTAGCGGTAATCGAACAAATTAAAATTCCATATGTATTAACTATAACGAAACGTTCCCAAAATTTCAATTAAACCGTAAACAAAACTCATATTTTGTCAACAAATTTATGTTTACTCGGTGTCTCCCCATCTCTTTTACTCTCTCCAGCCATACTAACAAATTCAAACAATGCAAAATACTACCAATTTTGTCGAGCAGCTATTTGAGTTGTGGTATCATTAGCCAAAATAGTAGGCTATCAACCGCATAGCCCTACAATTCCAAAGAATCGAGTACAAGAATGAGTACGCGCGCCAAATCAAGCGCGACGACCAAGATCATCAGCCAGAGACGGGCAATGGCCGGCATTAGCAACCCCACCACCACCACCACCAAGGGACATGTGATATGTCCAAGCGAAGAAAAAAAAAATTGACGCAGCTGTGCGAGAAAATGTCTGCTTTTGTCTCGCTGGATGTGTGCAACTAACAAATAGTCAGCGTGACAGAGAATTTTATAAAATAAGTAGTCAGGTAAATGTCGCAATGAGACAACGAAGCGTGGCGAAGCCAAAGATAAGCGCCAAAAGCAGACAACAAATGCCAAAGTAGTAGCAAGCGAGGTGCATCCAGTTGGATGGATACATGGCGTCGGTTGCGCAGACGCAGCTTCGAAATGTAGACCTGCATGGCCTTTATTTGCAGTAAAATGCAATGACTTGTGTGTGTGTGTGTGTGTGTGTGAAATACAACAATTATAATTTATTTGAAACTGAAAACCATAGAAGCAGACCCCAACGTGGTGACCACAAACTCGCCGATGGGGCAACTTACACACACACACACGCCACTCTGTTTGTGTTGCAAGTGCTTCTTAGCTGATACTCAGCTTAGTTAATGTGGCATTAGCGAGCGCCGTACTTACTAGGGTACGCTTACAAACGCTTGCAATGTGGCATGTTGCAGTCGTCAGTCGGCTGGTTATAAATCAAACATCTGCCTTTTCTTTACGCCATGTTTGTCGGTTTTTTGTTAAATGCATAAAATTGCAAATAATTTCGCATTGCGTAGCGAGAATGCATCACTTTCTGTTTTTTGTTTTTTTTTTGTTTCTCTGCTCTTTCCTTTGTTTCTACTTCTATCAAATACACACTTTGTTGCCACAAGACATGCCACTTTGCGCAACTAAGCGACCGAATAGGTTATGATGGCGGTGCTGTTCCCCCCCGTTCTCTACGACGCGCCTGGCTGGTTGCCTCTCATGACGAGGTGCCGGAGTGGAAGATGCACACATGCAACAGCTAAATAGTAAACATGTAATGGAATATTAACAAACGCATATTATGTTGCATTTGATGCACAAAAGCACGCACGCACGCACGCACGCACACTCCGGCTCGCACACGCTGGCAATGTTGCAGGCTATTAAGTGCGTAATTTTCATTTTAATCTTCATTCCGTTTTGTCTTACACTCGGCCGCGTGCATGAACGTTAAAAGTTTTATTATTCTTTTAATTGCACATAATTGCCAATAAAAAAATATGAAGTTCTAGAAAAAATATCAAACTTTTATTATTTTTTGAGATCAGATAAATGTATAGGATTAAAAAAAAAACGCGTATTTCATGGAACAAATAAAAAAAAATTAATTTATTACGATCCAAAATTTTATGGTTTTTTTACTGTAATAAGCAAAAAAGATAAATAATTGGAGTTAATTGAGTCAAAAACTAAAACGAGCCAATTAACGAAATCGAAAATTCTAAGTATTTGAACGCCATTTTTAACTGAGTTCTGAGAAAGGAACTAAACAATTGCCGACATGCCCAGACATGTCTCTAAAATCCGAATTAACGAAGCGAATATCTCCACACAAAAACTATTAAAAGAACAAATGAAGCACAATAGCTTGATTTTAAACGCTAGAAAGTTAAAACTGAACATAATTTTATTTTTTTGGTAAATCAAAAAACGTGTCATAGTTTAGTAGCAATTAAAAAACTGGACATAACTCTTCTTACTTAAAAAAAATTTTCGCCAGTTAATAACTGGATAACTTTTATTGGTAATTCAAAAAATTGCAATCACTTTTCAATATATCAAAAGCGGGCCGCACTTTTGGGCCAATTCCTGAACTGTACATAATTTTTCTTTATTCAAAGTTTATGTTTTGTTTATTTAAAAACTGGACAGTAGTTTTTGGGTCATTTAAAACTTGACATATTAATTGACAGACATATTTAGTAATTCAAAAACTGGACATATTTTTTTGGCAAACTTAAAACAAGCCATAGTGGCCATAGCTTTTCTTACTTCAAAGAATGACATAGGACAGGATTCTTATCAGCGTCATCAGAGAACATTGAGTCTTGCAATAATACCATAGCGGAACAATCTGAGCTACTCAAGCGGTAGGGGTATCGGCTCATCACTACATATGTAGGCTATCAGAGATATAGAAGTTACAAGAATTTTCATGCCTGTGTATATATATTTTTTCGATGTTTTCGAATATCGTGATGAAATGAAATATAGGTGTGTTTTTTCGTTAAAGAATGCAAAAAAAATGCATTGAGGTCTAAATTTTGTATGGAATGGCCCATATATGTATAGTATGCTCGAAAACTACTTTTATAATGGAAGAAAATGCCTAGCTCCTCCAGCCACAAAAAAAAAAATTTATTAAAAATCAACGCAATTTTCTAGTGTCTTGAAATTTGCGCTTTAATTTTTATAATTTTTGTACGCAGTTTCAAATGTGGATTTATGTGGTGCTGGTTATGTAAAGTGCTAGACTTTTATAGAAAAATGATAAACATTAAACAAACAAAAGAAAATAACCAAAACTGGTCAAAATTTCACTTAAATTAGTTAGCTGAAATCAAGTGTACCTATGTAGATATTTGAAAAAAAAAACAAAATAACATAATCATTGGAAGGCGGGAAAGTTAAATTTCGTAGGCCTACGAATTATATAATTAGCAACTTAAAGCTCTGTTTATAAGTGTTCTGGATTCCGTTTTATATTTGGGTGGCAATCTATTCCACCTGAAGACTGGAATTTACCAAAATGTTTGCTGATGGGGCAGTTCTTTGCCCTCTTGAACAAAAGTACATATATTCGGTTATAAAATGGCCTTGCAAAAACATTTTCGTCAGTTCCATAAAATTATCAAATGGAATAGAAGGATAGAGATACTATTTTAATAACTGACAAGTTGCTTTTGAAAAAAATAGAGCAAGCGTCCTTTCCTAAAAATTGAAAAGGAGGCAATCAGCGTCAAACACAGAGGAATTAATCTGTCAATAGAATTAAATTCCTGAATTACATCGTTGCATGAGATCACTTAATGGCAGCCAATGCCGAGAACCTCTAGTCGTCCTGATGGAATGTGTTAATGAGTCAGGCCGCTAAGGTACTACACGTTAACATAAATGGCTGTGTATGTACATATGTAGTGAAAAAAGGTAATCGAACTGACCTGAATTGGATTGATGAGGAATGCATGAGCCATAGAAAGACACAGAGACAGATGTTTTCTAATTTCATGTATCTGTATGTACATTCAGGTACTTATGCCGCTTGACAAATTCCTCATTGCATAAAAAGTACGGAGGTTGACGCTAAATTTATTTCTCCACTTACACAAAGCCACTTACATACACATATGCGCATAACTCGGCTGGTTTACTTTTAACTTCTCTTGTACGTAGAAAATTATCTGCAAATGATGAAGTGCATGGATACAATAGAAGGCTCTACAGCCGAAGCATTCCAATTTGTGCGCCAAAAGCAGTGCAGAGAAAGGCCGGGAAAATACGCAGTGATGAGTACAATACAAAAAAAAAAAAATAAATAAAAAATAAAGTGGATACGAACAAGAGCAGTCGCAATTATCTATGCTTGTCTCCATTTTTGGAGTCCTTCTCACCAGAGCAGATGTGCAGCGATTGCTAGGCATTCGTGCCACACACAGGCGCGCGTATTTATGAATACTTCCCTGCCGGGAAATGCAAGTGTTTTCTAAGTCCTGTCCTAAGTTAGTGACTTTGCAAGAAAAATATGTACATACATATACTTGTATATATATGCCTATCAAGCCGCGAAATCACGTATATTTTTAAAATAAGTTAAAACTTTTTCTAAATAGCTTCGAATGGATGAAAAGAGCATCAGCTAATACCCGTTATTTCCTACAGGGTACATAGTAGATACAACACTCGTAAATACATATACGAATAGCTCCTTTAGTGGCGCAGCATTCAAGAGAATTCGATACTGAAAGGTTCAATGACAGTAAAAAAACATCAAAAAAAAGCAATGCAAATATATTGAAAATTGGAAATGTCTTGCACTTGGGGGTAGTTCAGCTGCCGAGTATGCTTGTTAAGGTTAAAGCCAGCAAACAAAAGTAACCCCAAGAAGCTGCCGCACAGATGAGCAGCTGCTAGTTCACAGGGAAAGTGCGTCATTACTTAGGAAAAGGACGATGGCGCACAGGCGCAACACCGCATCGACAGGGCAGCACTCAATAAAGAAATTTTCACCTATGTACATATGTTTATAGGGACATACTTACCTATACATACATACATACTTATGGAAGTACATATTTACGTAGTGGCTTATCTATCCTAATGCGCAAAAATCGCGACTACTCCATGCAGGCATATAAAGAGTACTCCCTAAGACTCAAGGAGTACTCCCAATATTAACCGAAATGCATATCCCCAATATGGTGCAATTAAAATTGCGATATCCTAGGGCAGGAATATATACTTCAGCACTGCATTATATCAGAGTAGCACAAAACTATTCCAAGGGATTACTCCATGGAGTACTTACTTTAGGCAACATAGCCCAATAAAAATCGTGTAGGGTTTAAGATCGTTAAAACACGGGCAATAATCGGGTAATAATAAGCTGTTGAAGAGGCACGAGTTGGTCCGCTACTGCATTACAGAAGAGCATTTTGTAAGTACTCCAATTCAGCACAAATGGACCACGTGGTGCAACGATTTTGGCACTCTTCTACGTTCTACTTATGTACATATGTATGCTTTTCAATATTGGAAAGGAAAAAAGAGAAGAAAACTCTTTATGTAGTACATACATATATACTAGTGTCTGACCGAAGGTTCGGCCTGGCTTCGCTATTCGGAATATTGGGCTGATTTTTAATTAAAATTTTTGGTTCACATGGACTAATAGGTATTGAAAATAGTCTTAATTAATTTAATTTTTTTAAATTATGAAATTGGAAGAACAAAATTCGAGGATATGTCCGAGTGCATATTAGTCCGTGGCATATAGATATATTTTTTTTAAAATAATTATTGCACAATTTCAAGGATATTCAAGCATGCAATTTTAAAAGGACATTGTCAATACCTAATAGTCCTCATGCACCAAAAAATTTAATTGGCTTTATTTCTACAGAATTTCCTCTTCAATTTGATACCCATAATGTTTTTTTTTCATTGCACTAAATTTTTAAAATAATTTTTTGAATTAATTATATTTTACAAAAATCGAAGTCCTTCTAAACAATATCCTGATGCCAGAGAGAAAAACTAAAAAGGCAGCTTTACTATATTTGGCCCATAGTTTCGCGAATATCTTGATTTTTTTGTGTGTAAAATTTACTATCGCACGGTGTTATTTTTGAAACGTAAAACTTAATTTTCACGTTCGGCTTCGGCTTCGGTATTCGGCCGAATATTGAATAGTACTTAATATTCGGCTTCGGCTTCGGTCGGACACTAATACTTATATACGTATGCAGTAGTTCTAATTGCATAATTTCTTTTTTTTTTGTGAATTTATTTCATAGATATATGCACAATTTTTTGTGAAAAACGTCTTTGCAATACTTCAATGAACAAAATAAAGAGTTTCTCGCTGTACGGAAAATGTGTGTAGAAATTATATTTGTAACTAGTTTATCATCACACAGACACACCATTTGATGGCGCAGTCGAAATTCTATGGCAGCTCTTGCCCATGTGGCATTTACATAACAATACTCTTATACAATAGCTCATACATATATGTTATTTCTTAAAATTTCTCCCCTAGAAAGGGAATGAAGAGTTTGAGTATATACGTATGTAAGTATATACATTTCATGTTCTGTTTTTTCTTTTGTGAACCATTTTGTCAAATTGTTTATGCATTTATTAATTTTTCAACTGCGTAAAATTGTTCAAGGCGGTTACTCACCTCTTCATAGGTATTTTCACGCGAACTTGATTGTACGCTGCTGGCAATCGAACGACGGAACATTTCACTGCAAATGGAAAATAAATAAATGAAAAAATTTATGTGGAAATAAGCAAATTAATTAATAAGTTTTATAAAATATTAATTTATATGCTGCTGTATAGAACTTTATCTACCCTTATCAGTAAACGCCTGATTCTATTGCATCCGAGTACCAAAAAACACTAGTTAGGATCACTGTTGACTACTTGTTGCTTTTCGCACTAAATATAAAAATGTTATTTATTCAAAACGCAAAAATTTTTGAGTTTGGTGCTTGGTGCGCTTTTTTTGTCCCATTTTTAGTTTGACGACACTAACAGGTCTATTCCGCACGTTACCGAAGATTTTGTAACCGGAAAATTTTATTACCAAAAAATGTTACCAGTTCTTTCACCGCGATTCTAGGTTCGTTGGTAATGCAGTTAAAATATTCAGCAATTCAGCTATGAAGAATTGTGCAGATTCTGGCATTGCATATTTCACGGGGCAATACTTTGTTACCAGCTTATGAGATGGTAACAAAATTTACCGGTTACAAGAGTACAGAGAATGCGAAAAGGGTTTAAAAATTTACAGGAACTTTATTTACCGGTTACAAACTTTTTATTAGAATAGACCTGTAAATGTGTAAATCTTAAAAAAGGTGGAAGCAAAATGTATAGCAATCGTAAGTTTTGTAAGCAACTTTACAAAAATGAAAACCAAGTCATGGCACAATGACAAACATAAGCGGGAGAGCTTATGTTTGCCAACAAAATATATGGCGGTACTTTCAATCATGTCCGAATTACAATATACTCACGACACTATGGGCCAAATATAGTAAAACTGCGTTTTCAGTTTTAAAATTTTTATATTAGAACTGTATAATTTCAAAGATATGATAGATTCTAAATTAAAAAAATTAAAATTTTTTTGTGTTCACAGGGACAGGTAATGAAGTGCCCTTATATTAGTCCTTAACAGTTTTTGTTATTTTTATGGCCTTATAACAATTATATTCAACAATTTTTATGAGCTTGAGGCCGTTTTTTAGTCCTTAACATATAATATTGCAAAATAAATATTGCAAAATTTCAAGGATATTCAAGGATACAATTTTTAAGGACATTTCCAATACCTTATGCACCAAAAAATTTATTCTGTTCTTTCTCTACAGAATTTTCTCTTTAATTTGATAGCCATACTGTTTTCCTAAGTACACTGCCTTAAATTTTTTAAACCATTTTCAGAATCACTCATATTATTAAATTTTCAAAGTTCTTTTAAAACAATGCTGACGTTAGAGAGAAAAGCTAAAAACGAGATTTTACTGCATATATTTCGCCCATGAATATATTGATTTTCTGTGTGTAAAATTACCTGTCGCACGGTGTTATGTGTATGTATAATTAGCTAGACATATATAAAAAAAATATTAAATATTAAATAAACAAAAAAAAATATAGCGAAAACTGGTCAACATGAGGCATTCTATTATTGCCACCATTGCAAATTACAAATCGCGAAAATCTCTGGATTCTTGGCAAATAGTCCCGGGATTTTCGGGACTTAAAAAAGTCCGAGATCTCGGGATTAACATCCCTAATTTATAGGGGTATGAAGTTCAATCTCTTATGAAATGAAATTATGCAAAAATAAGAGCTCATTTAGGACTCAATGCAATACTCCAAGAGACCTAAATGAGCATCTTCTTTATACTTAATTCTTTATACTTAATTTATTGAAAGTTTTTCGAGTTTGTAAACTTTTAAACTTATATCTACATATTTCTACTTTTTCACTAATTTCTTCCTTTTTCTTACTTTTCAGTTGCTGTGAGCGGTAAGTGTTTCATCATCAATTAAAAATATTCTCATCAAATCATTTATAGCTACATATTCCCAAATTGTATTGCCCTTCCTATTTCTATATACAAAATGTACTTATGTACTACTCGCCTATATATGTATGTAATCACTAAGTCATCAAATGTGTGATATGTAAAAAGATTAATAATTAACTAAGAAGTGCTCTGACCAAGTGGGGAGGGAGGCAAAGAAGAAATAAATAATTAATCGACAAGCATAAATTCTCCGAAAAAAATAAGATTAATAATAAAGCACAAATTAACCCAAAGTTAAGCATTAATGACAATCCATGCCCAATTTGTGCAAAAATAATTTACACGTTACCTCAAATAGCAAGAATGCCAGATTTGGTAATGTTTAAAGAAAATCATAAATTTTGCTATTTTAATGCTGAAGACGCGCATAAAATTAAACCGTAATATGTTAGAAACAAAATTTACACATATGAATTTTAATAGAAAATTTTTCTGTTTATATTTCTATGACTTTAGTTGCATACCTTAAACGTTGACAGGGCGTAGGCGCCGCCGCCGGGTTGGTTAGATTGGACCTTGAGTCGCTCAGATTTGTTGTAGAATTGCTAAGGAGCTGCTGATTGCTGATCGCGTTGCTCATGTTGTTACTATTTTTGTTGCAGCTGGTAGATTTTATTTGATTGCTGTTGCTTTTCGGCTGTTGTTGCGTACCGCTGGTCGTGTGGCTTGGATTTTTATGACCCAAAGCAATCGTCGCCGACGACATTTTTTTCAACAAAGGCCAAATTCTTGCCTAGCTTTTTTTTGTTCTTCTATTTGCAAGCGTCAAGTGTCTAGATTAGTACGAGTATATTCCACAATTCCTTGCCAAATATAGCTAGTTCATTAGCTTTGTGGTTTTCATGATTTAAACGCCTGGTGATTTTTTTTGTTTGGGTTCACAGCAACAGCTGCTTCGCCGTGGGCCGCAGACACGCGCTGCACACTGAACGTACTCGTACACAATTAAGCGATTTGTTGTGCTCACTTTTGTTGCTTTGTTGATTTGTGTGTTCGCTGTTTTATTATTTGATTTGCGGTTTTTTTTTTTTTAATTTTTACGATTTATGTTTTGAGCCTTTTTCTGAAATTAATTTGTTAACATATCACCTTTTTTGGTGCACTTTTATGCGGTTGTCTTTTAAATTGGCTGTTTGTTTTTATTTGTTTTGTTTTTTCATGCACTTGTCCCACTTCGAATGTAGCAATGTTCGTTTTTTGCGTTTGAGATCAATGATCAGTGATCTTGGGTAGTAATAAATATTTGTAGATTAGTTATTTTGTTTATGGTTATAAAATATGTTAACCGAATTATGGCATGAAAAAGTTTGCGATTTTAAATTTATTGATGTTTCAGTTATTATAAAAAATTGCAGATTTAAACCGGATTTTTGTGCACATTTTTGCCCTAATATATAAATAACTACATAAATAATGTTTAAATTACAGATGAATAGCTAAGCTATTTCAAACAAAAATTTCAGAAACCAAAATTTCAGTAGACGAACTTATTTATACGCATCCTTCCTGGCAATGGCATCCGCTGCCAGGCGTATGCGACAAAATAAAAATAGTTCTAAATTTAGCGAAAATTTTGTGCGATTGGAAAATTTGAAATTAAAAAAAATTACATATGCACAAGTTGTGGAAAATTTTTCAATATCGGTGCCAAAAGAAAGAGTTTTAAGAAAGCTTTAGTTTAAAGGCATAAAACTAAATGAAAATTAAAAGTTAGGAAAGAAGTTTTTTATTAAAAAAATACCAATTTACTTATTTTTGTGATGCAATTTTAGTTGGTTTGATGCGACTCAATTTTCACAAGTTTTGAAAATTTTTCCAATTGTGTGCAATTTCTGGCCAATAATTTTAGCGTTTTAACGCCATAGAGTTCATTTGTTATGTATAAACATATCTATCTATTTACACATATATCTTAGGCTACCAAAAATCTAACAGAAGAGTGCCAGACATTGTATATATCAAATCGCCTGGGTGTTTTTTTTTTTGGTCCTAGAATAGTGGAACCGTCTGTTTTAACCCTAGGAAGATAACTCTACTAAAAGTGAGACGTATCATGGTTTGCTTGCCTTAATTTTGTGGTAATAAAAATTTTATGAAAAATTTTTTTTTCAAAGCTATGGAGTCTTAAAGTATTTGTTTATTATTCAAGTGCATTTTACTTAAAAATATTCTTGATTTAAAATGGAAATACTACCGATTTCAATCTTAATTTCGCGAAAAATAGAGCGAAACATTTAGTAGGTTTTCACAGCAGGGTTAATGATGCCAAACTTGCAAGCCATCTCAAAACCAGCTGGTTAAGTCAAACGCCCTGAGCAATATTTAATGATTTTTTGCTCTAGCTGAATCTTCTACAAAGCTGTGTATACCTGCTTGGAAATAACCCCCTCCACTTTGTACGGCCTTGCACCTAAATAAGTAAATAATGATATGCCTAGCGCATCAACAATTTAGTTATTTGCACTCAAAAAATGTTTATTTGGAAACTTCAAATTCTCTGAAAAATTCGCTTTAAAATATGAGCAATTTACAGCGACGGTCAGCAAGCAATTAATGCTGCCTCTACGTCTACAAACAAAAATTAACTTGTCATAATAAAAATCCACAAACGGTTTTCGGAGTTTTACTTTAACAGCTTTTAGATATTTCTCTGCGTTAGCGTATTTGTTACAAAACTGTGACCATATTAGTCCAGCGGGCATTAGCTGTGTGTGTCTGGCTGAGCAATTAACTCCGTTTTTGGGTGTTGTTAAGAAAATCTCACGCAAACGCATAAGCTGTCGCTTGCTATTCCACTGCAAGTTTGTTGCTTAAGTCTTTCGTTACTGTTTTTTTTTTTTTTTTAATTTGTCTGCTTAATATTTAATTACACGCGCACACACTTTAACACTTTGCCTACAAATTTAGTAATTTTTTTTGCTCAAATCTTTTGATAGTCTCAATTCGCTCAAACCACATTCATTTGGCCACTAGGTGTCGCTGCAGGTGGCGCTCACGCTTTTAATTAAACAAAAATATTATGTGTTTTTTCTAAACTTTCGATGAGTGTCTAATCTGAGCCACTTGATTTACACTTGTAACACACTTTATTGTCCGTTCGCACATGCGCATCCATACTGATTTCTTGCAAAACTGATTTATGTCATCTCCATCGACCGGCATCGGATGGCCATCAAGCCACCAAGCTTAGATGGATGACTGCCTGGTTGGTTGCCTGTTGCTGCTGTTGTTGTTGTTGTTGTTGTGATTTGCTGGCGGACAGCGTCAGCACTTGCCAAGTGAACAATTAGTTCTACACGTCACATACGCTGCAGGAAGTCATTTGAACTTGACGTATTCATGTCCATGTCAATGAAATGCGAAGAGCGAATACAGCAATAAAGCAGAATGCATTTGTTGTTGCCTACCATCGTAGCTAGCTAGCTGCCGCCACAATAACGACGCTGGCGGCCGGCTATTGACTGCTGTGCTGGCTGTGCTTTATTCGCAATACTGGTAGCGCGCATCGGTTCATTCCATACCAGTGTGCCCCTTGCTGCCGTCTGTCTGCCTTTCTGGCTTTTCTATCCATTCGATTTATATTACTTAGCTCCTGTTGTTTTATGCTCATCTTCATCATCACTATCATTATCATGGCAAGTAGTGCTTTTTTGCATTATTGTTCGCTTTTTTGTTGTCTTCTTTTATTGCTGCAAACTGAAAGCGATCACATGTCCTTCTACGGATGTGCGCTTTGGTATTAATGACATCTACGCGCCACAACGCACTTCCCAGTAGCAGTGATCTGCAAACTTTTTTTTTTGTGCGTAAAGTGCTTTCAGTAATCATCCCGGTTTATGTTAGTCAACTGTGTGTGTCGGGTCTATGATTTGAGACTTTTTGTTTAAAAATTTGTGTTGAAGTCAAACAAAAAAGCTCTCCATGGGCAAGGCAGAAATCCAAACTGACTTATTCTATAAAAGTTTGATGTAGCAACGCACTTTAGACCAAAAGAGCATTTTACCCACCAGACATTATTCGTAATTCTCAACTTGTTTATGAACTGTCTTCTATGAGTAGAGTGCTATCGCTCTTATCAAAAGTCTAAAATTCCAACCGACAAAGTCTGTCAGCTTGTCTGATTATGATTTGTACGACTTTATAAGGTGAATAATTTTATATTTCTTATGAAACAATTTGAAAATGTGCGATGTCCATTAGAGTTGACGTTGAAGTGAAGCTGTAATTTTATTAGTCCACCTGATGATGTAGAAGATAACAAGAACTACTGAACAATGGGCTTTCGCCAATTGTGACATCATCGGTCTCAACAACAGTGGGGCCTGTGGCGTCCTCCCCAAATCTGCGCTTGTGTGGTAGTCAACAAGGACAAGACGAAATGTGTCCTGTTATAACCAAATAGCCATCGCACCAGCACCTCGGTATTGTATTACTTCGGATATACTCGCGGTGTGACCTAAAAAGGTCTATTGTGGTAAACCCTAATAGTACTCCCTCCAGACCTGGGCTATTTAATAAGTTAAGCACATTGGAGGGTTCCACGTTGCAAATTTTAAATGGAGGACATAAGGCTTCCTCCCCAGCCCACATGATCCTCAGTCCATCTCTACAGAAAGGCGCATTTCATTCAAATAGCACTTTAACTTGTAGTGTCCTGACAGGTAGCTTGTAAGACTTCTAAGACCCTTCTGTCTAAATTCAAGCAGCCTTTCAGAGTCCCCCATGGAAGAAGTTGAGAATTTCTTTGATTTCCTTATTCACTTTGGCTTCCGCCAGTGGGAAGCAATTCGCGATTCTTTCAAGCTCCTAAGTAGTTATGCAGTGTATCCTCTAGATATGCGGCAGAAAGGCTCGGGTCATGCAAGCGCGTTTGGGCTCTACATTTTCCGAGACAGTCAGCTCTTCTTTCCTTCCAGCCAGGGCTTCGGAGCAAAGGTTTTTTTTTATCGCTTCGCTCCAGCTCCGCTCCGGTATTTGATTTCGCTCCAAGTTCCACTCCCAATAAAACACTTTTTTAACCGCCTACAAAAAACTGATTCGTCGGAATATTTTTTTTTTTCATTTATGTTACCACATAACCTTGGACCACATGGTACCTCAAGGGTGTGTCTATACTAATTTGGTTTAGATCCGATCACTGGATCGTGAAGAAATTTACGGTTATGTTTTTTCTTAAAAATTACTTGTTATTTGCTTACTCACGGCCCACTGTACTATGTAGCTATGCGTGACATACCAGCAAATGAGACGGCAGAAGAGCTAGTAAGAGGGGGTACTTCGATTCCACTTTCATCAGTCTGGAAGAGGATAGGTATGCTGCTCGCTTCCTGCAAGCTCTTACTAAGTGAACTTTTCCTTGAAGAAGCGGGTAACATAGATGGCAGCACTCTATCCGAAATGGAATAAACGGCGAAATGGAATAAACGCAGATCGAGAGAAATTCTCACTCTCAATATAGGATATATCCTGAGAGGAAGGCATGCGGAATGCATCGAGGTCAGTCACAATGACTACTGTAGGGAATGCCATGACGAATAAGAGCCTGAATCAATATACTCCACGAATTGGTTTGAGGAGAAGGGGTTTTGGATCCATGTGGCATCACAATTGACCCGTAAATGGGCCTAAGTGTGCTGGCCTCCTTAAGTCTAGCAGCCACTTCAACCTAACCTAACCCATCACCATTTTTTCCAATAAAAATTCCAC